TCACAACCTAGTTTTAGGACACGGTCCTTCAATACTGGTGAAATCTTAAGAAATCTGACCATCTCTCTATGCTCGCACATCTCCAAACTTTTATATAAATACCATAAGTGTGTTGGTCAATGAATTGAGTGGTGTCTGATTTCAAAATGGTAATATTTAATATCTAGGGAACATATTTTATAGATACTGCATTAATTTTGTAAATTTGTAGACCCTTTAATTTTATTGAAGTTTATTTATTTGTGTGTATAAGTGTATTTTCTTTTATTATCCATTTTATTATTTCAGGCCTAATTTCCACACCACCCAGGAGGTAGGGCCGTTGGCGCGTTACCCTTTGTTTATAGTGGCGGGTTCCCCAGTAGGCCTATACCACTCTTCTAACAGAGCTCCAACATCGGGTCGCTCGAGTCAGCCTCCGCTCTTTTTTAGGCATACTCGGCCGAGTCCGATTAAATCAGCCCTGCCAGGCTCCTCGACATCCTACCTAGAGTAAAAGTATTATTTTATAAAGTGCCCATTGTTGGAGACCCAGGAAACCTAATTTATATTTTATATAACTAATAAAATTTCTCAATATAATAATAAATTAAATTTGTGAAATAAATTCATTTTTTCAGGAAACTAACTTGTGAAATAACGATGCGACATTCATATGAATTGTCCTTATTATATCCATAATTTTATGCGATGTTTTAATAGATTATTGAAACAAGTGGATTAAAATAATAAAAAAAAAACAGCCTTAGAACATCAACAAGGATGTTAAATACATAGAAAATATGACGGAGTGCATCGTTTTATCACTCATTCCTTATTCATGTTCTTTCTTAACACGTATCCTGCATTATTCAAAATCTCTCTCTAACATTGATTGAAATTCAGATCTTCATATTTATTAAAAATATAATCAGTTGCTAAATATTCATTTTGATAATTTAAATTCAACAGCACTAAATACACAAGTATTTTAGTTAAATTTCAAAGCCTGTTTATAGAAGTTCAATACACACACTAATATTTTCAATTATTATTCATACAGGTTTCAAAAAAGTAGACATTGTATAAACCATTATAATTATGTTGGGTAGTTAACAGCACTGCTTTTTTTTCAATCTAAGTATACAACATATCTAAATGTATAACTAATATAACATATTTTGGATTTTATTGGAAGGTGCGTGTGTGTGGTGCCCGCTTTTGGTGATGTGTGATGCGTGGGTGTCTGTCGTGGCTGGTGTGTGGGTGTGTTTGCGGTATGTGTATGTGTTGTGTGTTTGTGTGGTACGTGCGGGTGGTGTGTTTGCGGTGTGTGTTTGTGTTGTATGGTGCATGTGAGTTGTGTTGTTTGTTTATGTAGTACGTGCGTGTGGTGTATACGTGGTATGTACGTGTGGTGTGTATGCGGGGTGTGGGTGTGTTTACAGTTTGTGTGCGTTGTGTTGTGTGTTTTTGTGGTACGTGCGTGTTGTGTGTGTGATGAGTGGGTGCCTGTCGTGGCTGGGTGTTTGGGTGTGTGTGTTTGGGTGTTGTTTGTGTCACAAACAAACAATTTGACAATTAAAATATATTTTAAAATTTTACACAAATAAATTTACTGGCAATGCGTTTCTTTTAAATATCATCAATTATTATCTCTACAGACCTTACTGCAATGATATGTGTTATTGAATGAGAGGGCTTGGCTCATCAGTAGTGAACCCTCTCAGCGGTTTCGCCAAATAAAATATATTTATTGACTCCTTAGTAAATATTTACAAAATCAAATTTAAATCGCTACAATAATAAAAATTAAAATAAGAAGAATTATTTACACACAATCAGCCAGGCAGTCTTCCCCATCGCATGAGTGTTCTCTTCCAGGCGATGACGGGGTCCTCAATGCACCACCCAGGCCAACCTGTATGAAGTACTGGTCTTCAAAGCTGGTCCACAAGATCCATGGTCAGTGGGTCTCCCGATGAGGTTGGACGCTCTCAGCAAAGGAAATCAGATTTCTGTAAGTTACTGAGTTGTGAAGCTGGAGACGTGTTTTCTGAACATATGGTAGATTTCACATGTCACAGATAGCTAGGTGTTAGCACTAGCGGGAAAATACAGCTGCCTCATTAAAATGTAATAAAACGGAAACTGGAATGAATAGGCCATGTGTTAAGACAGAATAACCCACTAAAAAATTGGATGAAGGACACGTGGATGACACCAAATCAAGAAGACGCCTTCGTTCTACATTTGTGAACAAATTTAAAAATGAGAGCAAGACAATATTAAGGTAAAATATCAAACCTTCGTAGCTAAGTTTCCTTTTAAAAATATATTTAATAGAACTCTTGCTTTTGGACCTGGAAGCCTTTTCCTAGAGAAGAACAAGAAATAACATCGATAGAACACAATTTACAATATATTTAGAAATCATTTTTACACATAAATATATAAGAAAAAAACAATTTTAAAAAAAGGTCAGGTGTTGGTATTAAAATTTAAAAAAAAACATATCCTGAGCACACTCACATGAGCTCTCTAGATGACAGAGCGCCATCTAGTGGGACAAAAATCAACTAGACGTTGATTTATCTTGTTCCCTGATATTTGGACAATTTTGAAGGTTTTTATGGTATCTAGTCAAACAATTGATATAAACTTTGATTATTATTTCTGTGAAAAATAGTAACTTCGGCCAGTTAGAGTTTTTTTATTTTCTCAACGTTTCAACAAAAATCTTTTGTCTTCGTCAGGAGAAATAAATAAAAATAAAGCATTTGGCAAAGCATTAAAAATTGTTCTGAGATTGCAAGATTGCAGAATTCGAAAAATCGCGTGAGAATGCCCTTGCAACCTCAGAACCATTTTTACCTACTTGCCAAATGCTTTATTTTTATTTATTTCTCCTGACGAACACAAAAGAATTTTGTTGAAACGTTGAGAAAATAAAAAACTCTAACTGGCCGAAGTGTCTATTTTTCACAGAAATATGAATACCCCGGCCAGGCAACCTCTATCTTTTGATTATTATAGAAATGTAAGATTTTTTTTAGCACTTCTCTTCAGTTTTAATCCCTGATATTTTCTTCCATATAATAAGAGTAAGGATTATTTTTTAGTTAATTTAAAAAGGATATTATAGCTTTCGACTGCTTCTAACATATTTACAAATTTGCATACCTATTATAATACATAGGTCATTTATATTGTCAAGTAGCTCTGCAACCCCAACCACAGGAAGCTTCATGGGACACCTGTCAATCATCACTGGACTCCGGGGGTCGTCCACAGATGTGAGGGGTTCTCGTATTCTTATCGGCAAATAAGGAAAACGGGACGGTGGCTGACTACTCTCATTATTATTATTTTTACCTTGGGGTAAGTTGTTATCTCTCTTTCCCTATATATACATCTTGTATATAATTTTATTGGAGAACTAAAAAGTAAATACCCTTTATAATAAATAATTATTTCCAAATTTGCCCTTGCTTTATTTATCTCCGCGACAATATTAAAAACACTATTAATTACATTATGTGGCACCTCCCACATAGGGCCGGAAAATATTTTAAAAAACTATCCAACTCAATCCTAGTCCTATATATAAATCTATAAATAAATTTATATTCATAGTGAAGGCATTTTGGGTGAATCTAGAAAGCATATAATATTGTATGGGGAATTATTGATTAAATTTGCATCTATAGCTTATATATAAAACAATTTAAGATGAAATATGGCTACATTAACTATTTTTAAAGTTTGTTCCTGACATTTCTCAGTGACTCGCTGTCATTCTCCTCAGTTACTTCGCTGTCACATTTCTAACCAACAAATGATCGTCAATTTATGATGAATTATAGTTGTGAATGTATGCTGCAATATTCAAAATAGACGAATATATTATTTGAATAACATGCAAGATATTTATTAGACTGATATTTAAGATTTGTTAAAATTGTAGATATATATCTCAAACAGAGCTGGGGTAGAAGAATGGACGCCATAAGGTAGTGCATCTACGTCTTTTAGGCAGAGCGATGAGCTTATAGTAGTTGGCGTTGAGCTCAACTAGTAGATGGGGTCTCCGGTCAGTTTTATAGGGTGGGGTGGAAGCTCCCTGTCTGTATCGAGGCCATATAAATCTTCTGGGAGAACTGTAACATCACAGTGAAATTCAACACAATCCTAACAGCGCGTATTACAACTTATGATTCAAATTTGTAGAGAACCTAATGTTATATACTCATAAACAAAAGGAAGTTTTACCTTTTAGTATGTATATTGGGTTTCAGACAATATCTCTGAAATATATTACAGTGAACTTTATTGAAGACACGCGAGATAACCAAGTGTGAATATAGTTCACTCATGAACAAAACTTAAGAAAGTTATACCTTTTAGCATGTATATCGGGATTCAGACAATAACTCTGAAATATATTACAGTGACCTTTAATGAAGACACACGAGATAAACAAGTTTTAAAAAATTGTCTCTGTTGACCAGCGACATAACTTTCCACTTCCTTAAGTTTTGTGTATGATTGTAAATTGTGTATTGTGTTTTTGCTTAATATTTCAATAAATAATGTTAATTGTATCTTTTAGATGTATGCGATTGTGTTCCAAATTAGTTTATTAAATATTTTGGTAATTTGATGGAAGAAGGATATTTTCCTTATCACTTGAAAAAAAGCTCCTTTAGAAATTATATATATATATATATATTTAAAATACAATATAACGCGGCTGATGATTGTAAAACGAAAATTGCAATTATACCGCGAATGTTTCTTTTAAACAAAAATCGAAATCCATTTTAAAGAGAAATAACGACCATTTCTAACTTTAAGGATGAAGTATGATAGGATGAATCGTGAAGAGTAATGACAAACGGAAAAATAAAAGTGTCCAGGGTATAATTGCAATTTTCGTTTTACAATCATCAGCCGCGTTATATTGTATTTTAAATGTAATATAAGTTACTTTAAATATTATTTACGAACGGAAAAATACGTCCAGGGTAGCCTAGTGGACATGGCACCTGCCCGGTAAGCAGAAGGTTGTGCTTCGATTCCCGCCCCTGGACACTTATATTTTTGTTTGTCATTACTCTTCACGATTCATCCTATAATACTTCATCCATAAAGTTAGAAATGGTCGTTATTTCTCTTTAAAATGGATTTCGATTTTTGTTTAAAAGAAACATTCGCAGTATAATTGCAATTTTCGTTATATATATATATATATATTTATTAGAAATAAAAAAGGCATCTCCTGACCACGAGCACATGTGCTTTTTAAATGGCAGAGCGCCATCTAGTGGAGCAAAAATAAACTAAACGCGTTCGTGGATGGCTTTTCTTGATAAATCAAGAAATTGGGTTGGCCAAATATCACAGAGCAAGCTAAATAAACGTTTAGTTTATTTTTGCTCCACTAGATGGCGCTCTGCCATCTAAAAGGCACATGTGCTCGTGGTCAGGAGATGCCTTTTTTATTTTTAATATCAGCACCTGACCCACTTATCTTTTATTTTATTCTATTGTATTCTCATGTGCTAAGCGTCTTTACGAAAATTGGGCCTTAAATACCTATTTTCTGATTTCTCGGGAATCCATTGGGACCAAATATATTTTTTGGTCGCAGTGGTTACAGCCTTCTCCACGCTGACGAGCGCCAACAGCGCGAAACGCGTTCATGGATGGCTTTTCTTGATAAATCAAGAAATTGGGTTGGCCAAATATCACGGAGCAAGCTAAATAAACGTTTAGTTTATTTTTGCTCCACTAGATGGCGCTCTGCCATCTAAAAAGCACATGTGCTCGTGGTCAGGAGATGCCTTTTTTATTTTTAACTAGCAGGGTGACCCGGGGTACGCCCGGGATTTACCCGAGTGCTTATCTGCCCGAGTGAATATATATTTGGTTAGAGCATCCCTCGGGCATTGCTCATCGAGCGAGCGTCTATAAATATTTCGATTCAATTTTTCAAACGACCTTTTTGAAAAGGGTTTTTAACTATATATATTTTTTTTTGAAACATGGAAATTATAATACTTTAAATAAATAAAAATAGGGTGAACAAAAATAAAACATACCAGATATTTCGAATTAGAGCAGTTATTTTAAACGGCGAATTAGATCAGTTATATCTAAAAATGAAAATATATAAATCCTCAAATCGAGCGAGCGTCTATAAATATTTAGATTTAGATCAAGTATTCTAAACGTATGTGTTATTAATCGAACTATTATTAATAAAATATGAGAAGATTTAGATTTTAAACGTATTTATAACCTTTTAGTACTTGATAGAGGGCGCTGTTCGTGAGCTAAGTAGAATAATTCGAATTTATAGTTTTAATAATTGATTTATATATTTTTTAAAATAGCCTATCGTCTTCCCCGTATTTTTTACTTATGTATGTAAATTTAGGTACTGTAAAAAAAAACTTTTCTTCAATATTATAAAAAAAAAAAACACCCAAGCTAAGTTTTGAACCAAGGTTGTGGAAATACGAAGCCGTACACCTAACCATTAAGCTACGCTTTGCATCAAAAATATGCGCATGTAAAGTTATTTCAGGCCTTACTTATTTCTAACGATCTTTTTGAAATAGGTTTTTGAAACATGGAAATGATAATACTTCAAATAAATAGAAATAGGGTGAACACAAATAAAACATACCAAATATTTCGAATTAGAGCAGTTATTTTAAACGGCGAATTAGATCAGTTATATCTAAAAATGAAAATATATAAATCTTCAAATCGAGCGAGCGTCTATAAATATTTATATTTAGATCACGTATTCTAAACGTATGTGTTATTAAGCGAAGTATATTATTAATAAAATATTGAGAAGATTTAGATTTTAAACGTATTTATAACCTTTTAGTACTTGATAGAGGGCGCTGTTCGTGAGTTAAGTAGAATAATTTGAATATATAGTTTTAATAATTTATTTATATATTTTTAAAATAGCCTATCGTCATCCCCGTTATTTTTTACCTATGTATGGAAATTTTGGTTTGAATTAGTGAACTACTGCGAATTTGTATACCGGACATACAAACCAACAAACAGACATACAAACATTCATTTTTATATAGATAGATATCAACACCTGACCCACTTATATTTTATTTTTTTCTATTGTTTTCTCATATATATATATATATATATATATGAGAAAACAATAGAAAAAAATATATATATATATTCTGGGGAAAAAAGGTGTGTGTGTGACATATTTTATAAGATTTTAAAGCGTTCTTCGCGAATAATATCAACAAATAAGATTATTAACGAGTTTACAAAGTGGGAAGAGGAGCTTCTTTTTATTGGCATGCACACAAGCTTTCGGACATATCGTCCTTCATCAGGTAAGAGTAAGAGTACGTACAGCTTGTGTGCATGCCAATAAAAAGAAGCTCCTCTTCCCACTTTGTAAACTCGTTATTAACCTTCAGTGAAGAGCAGTTCTACTTAAATAAGATTATTTTTGTGTATTTTTAGGAAGAAAGAGATGTTTCAATCTAAATATTAACATACAAGTATGTGTGTAAAATTGGCATCGAATTGGCCAAGTTAATAATATTTGGAAAATTGTCGATATGATTAGGAGATACTTTAATGAGATGAATGAAAAAAGAAAACACTTACCCTTTTTTGGCAAAGTTTCCAACATAGTCCATCATCCTATTCGAAAATTTGATTTCCTTCGGAGTATATGAAAGGTAACCTCTCAGTGGAAGTCCAAGAACATATTGCTGATCTTCCCCATGAACAGCTCCAATAGGCCGCGTGGAATCATTTTTAACGTTATACTCAGTCTGATGGGTGAAGTAATAGAAGAAAACACGATTATTCTTTGAAGCCATTATATTGGAGAAGTAAAAGATAGGACATCTAGCCATTGCATCTTCAAGAAATTCTTTAAAAACCCTAACATATTTTTCATAATCATAATCACGTACATTTTTCAAATAGGTATTAGCAATTTGAGTAAACTCTTTTGAATCTGATTGTCCAGAGATATACTCAATATGATTGATCGCATCTTGTTTTGTAGCATTTATTGAAGCAAAGTATTGTGGTAAGCGCATGCTCTCCAATGAAACTTCATTTTTAGTAAGCCCAATAATAATATCTTTTTTAAGAATGATGTTTTTCTTTGTAAAATCGAGGATTGAAGTAAATGGTAAAAGTTTTCCATTTAATTTCGGCCAAAAGGCTGTATAAATCATTATTTTAGTTGTTTCTTCCTCTGCTTTTAAAATTTCTTCAGGAGTCTTGGATTGAAGACATTGTAAAACTTCAGAAGAATTTGGATTACAATTCAGAACTTGATAATAAAGATCAATTCCTTTTTGTATTATTGTTTTGGAAAAATGGAAAAAGGGATTATTTGAAACACCACTTTGCAAAAATGCTCTTTTAAAAAGATTTTTGTTTTCTGCAATGGAGAGATGGAAGGCTATAGACATTGAACCTGAACTTAGGCCATAGAGGGTGACTTTGTTAGGATTTCCTCCAAATATTCTTATATATTTCTTGACCCATTTAAATGCTGATATTTGATCTTTAAGACCCATATTACCGTAAAATCCTTCTCTGTTGAGATCAAGGAATCCTAAAGAACTAAGACGATAGTTGAATGACACAACTACCATATTAGTTCGAGCAGAAAGATACTGAGGATTGTTCTCATAGACGTCGGATGAACCAATTTCGAATCCTCCACCATAGATATGAATCAAAAACAGCCATATTTGATCTATTACTAGGAGCCCATATGTTGAGGAATAGGCAATCTTCACTCATTTCCTTGTTAACATGTATTTCAGGTTTAAAACCTTTTTGGTAGCATGATGGAGGAAATTGGGTGGCGTTGATCTGTGGAGGAAGATTGGTGATTGGCTCTGGATCCTTGAACCTCCGCTCTCTTGTGGGAGGCAGGGCGTAGGGGATGGAGAGGTAGACGTCCAGTGACTTCCCACTAACAGTGTGCTGTGTTCCTGTGATCACTGTGCCTGTGTCAGGTAGAGTCACTGACGGCTGGGCAGCTATTCTTGGAATTATGACAAGAATGCATAATAAAGCTAAAAAGACGTTCTCTTCTGCACACACGCAGTTCAATTTATAATATCAATTATATACAATTTCTTTTCATTATTTAGTTTCTAGTATTCTAATAAAAGGTGCTATTTTAAAAGATATAAAAGGTTTTGTCTCCATCTTTTTGCCTCTTGTCAGTTATAGCTACTGGAAATCTGGTTTAATATTTTGGGAGGCTTGTTGTAAGGGATGGAAAGATAGACCTTCAATGACTTCCCACTGACAGTTTTCTGTGCTCCTGTGATCAATATTATTGTATTATATATTAACTTTATATAATATTTACCAACTCTTCAATTTATATAATATTTACGAATATTCTCTCAATATATGATAGCATTTGCCACACACACTCTACACGCCTATAGCAATTTAACTAGCTCACTCGCGATGATAATTCAATTACTTTGAACATTTTTGAATTGATTCATATTTTAAATAATGAAAATATGCATAACACATTTGATTAAAATCTGTATAAATACTTTTTTATGGATTTTATTTTAAATCACTTCGATCTTAAAAAATGATAAAAAGATATAAAGTGATATAATAAATATATACACGATAATTCTTTTGTGTGTGAAACAGATAAATAAATTATAAAATATAATGAATAATTATCTTAAATTTTGATTAATTTTGTCTTGTAATTTCAAGGATGTTCAATATAGAAACCTGAATTTTCGGAATTCTTCCTCTTTTTAGGTAATGAAAAATCGCTTTAAAAAATTCAAATCGCAACTTCTAGCACTTTCCGAATTGATATCGTTGTATCAGAGCCAGACAGAAGGACAGACAAACATCGTATTTATATAGATGATAGATGTAGAAATAATGTGCCAACTTACCCATCATAGGTGTAGAATAATGTGCGAACTTACCCATCAGAGGTGTAGAAATAATGTGCCAACTTACCCATCATAGATGTAGCAATCGTTGTTTTCAATTGACGTCTGCTTTTATT